TCTCTCATTTCTCCTAGTTGGTAATGGCATTTTCATTTTCTGCCGAATCCTTTGTAACGTGAAACACGAGATTTTGTGGATAAAATAGAAGAAATAGAAGAAATGAACATGCCCAGAGAAAATGCGTTCACGTAAGCGTGAGAAATAAAATCATGAGAAAAAGACTAGCGCTATTAACTCTTTTACATTTTCTCCCAGAGTTTTACAACAGTAAGTTACTCGAAAAAAATTTATTATATTCCATGTAAAGTATGAATATTAACGCTGAGAATGAATTGACGTGTAAAGTTTTTTTTGTTTTTCTCCAAGCTTTTTTATAATCCAAGTTTTTTAACCCTCCGATGGCAAAATAATGACGATAAAACAGTTGGGACTCGACGAGTGAATTGACTTTTTCGAAAATAGGTCAATTACTCTTAAAGCCTATGGTAGGTGCAGATACGCCGAGCCATCAATCATAAATTCAAGCGTGAACAATGTTATAACAAAGTTGAAAACTCAATCGTGCTGGAAAGCATTAAATCCCTTCTGCATATGCAACCGATGAAGGGAGGAAGAGAGAAAAAAAATGGGATGAAAAGTTTGGAATCTATGCGGTGAAATTGGCTATTTTCGATGTAACATGATTTTATGTGTATGTATATGTATTCCAGTTATTCCGGGTGAAATTGAAATTCATTCGACAGTTAATCCACTTGGATTGTCATATTTTTTGTTTCAATCTCCTCTACTCATCTCAAATCAGCTTGTGAGTACGACAAATTGAGCCAAACTCGTATACATGACATTTGTTTTTGCATCGATACATTTATCACACTCTGATAACTGCGATGCACCCCTCGCATCCTTCCGCTAGTCTTTCTTTTTCCGCCTGGCCGAATCAATATTTTGTCCACGCGGCAAATGTCGGGAATAGGTATTAGAGATCGAGAGGTAAGGGGCAGTTGCGTCGATGGTGAGAATGATCAACACTAAAAGAGGGCTTCACAAGTGTTTAAGCTATACTAAATATTTGAGATAAGAGATTGAGAGGGGAGAGCACATACGGATGTTTCTTCGGAAGGAAAGGGCGTTCGTAGGGCCCTTTATCGTTGAGTGGGGATTTTAATCTTCAAAGAGTGCGTAGAATGGATGTGAGTGAGCTTCTGTTCAAATATACTGGTGGAGTAAAAAGAATCATTCTTTTCCGGAGGGATGTGTATAGAATGATGTGTTATAAACAATAAAATTTGATTTTTTCACTCTCTTGAAAAGTACTAGTCGACTGAAATTTCATCATTAGTTGTCAATGAGAACTAATATTAAAGGCATCTCTATTCTCCTATCGCATCTGATAGCCATTTCTCAAGCCGATAATGCTCTACCCTAGTAGCAACTGTGTCAAATGAATATTCTGGGGGCACTGAATCTATTATCGAATAATCAGCCACAAACTCCCCGAATGATAGATCCTCCGGATCCGATAGCTTCTTCTGGCACAAATCATAGCGTACTCGACTAATTATCAATAACATTCTAGGCTAAAAGACGGCCCTCCATTTGTGGTCATCCCCTGCCATAGTAATTTCAGCAATTACTGAGCCTAGCCTCTAAACAACTCTAGTTATACAGCCACCGTGAGTATATATACATAGTATACATATGTATTGTCAGTCGTGATTTTCGCGGCATTTGGTTTTCGCTTCAGCCATGGATAAAATAAGCGTAACAGTTTCCAATGTACTGTAACGGTCAGTGAACAGTGCAAACATATAAGCCAGCTGTATTAAAAATATTCGTCCACAAAATGGTCACTGATGGCTATGGCTTTTCACACCAGTGAGTACGAGTGTCAATTATTATAGGGATTTTTGTATTTTTGTCTTTGCTCTTTATGATTATCATCATTTCAATTACTACCATGAAGTTGACATATCAGACTTTTGATTATTGGGATTAACTGAAAGAATGCTCAACAAAATTTCCAGTTGCCAGTACGAAACGCTGAATCCGATCACGATTCACCATCTCCCCAATATTGCCAGAGTACACTTGTTATTTCTTTTGTATAAATTTCTTTCCTATTATTATCTGGAGGCGCTGATGTACGATGTACCATGTCGGAACCCTATACCATTTCACTCTCTCGCATTCATATACCTCCCTCAGAAGATATTGTCAACGCCTCGACGCCCACTGATTTTTTATCCCCAGGGGTGGCTGCTCTATACACGTACCAATCATGAAAAAAATGGAAATGTCTCTCGTTGTTTTGCCGTTTTTGTTTTAGTCTTCTTTTGGCACCACAAATGGAACAATGTCTCTTGGCAAAGGCGACGCCAAATGCTTTGGCATTTCCACATTTCCACATCATGTAGTCAGAAATATTTTTATTCCTCTTTGACTTTTCAAAGCAACTCACTCAAAGGACATAATATTACTTCATTTTTGTTTCCATGGCCGACGGTATAGTTGGCCATTAATTATGATAAATGAGAAAATGAAGAATGAGCCATTTTATTTCATTGTGAAGGTCTCTCTCGTCGATGATGGGGCTGAAATACGTGAAATACGTAGGAGCTAGACGGCCAATTATTGTTGTCTTTTGCTAAAACCCTCCAATTTCAGTTCAGGTTATTTTTCTTTTCAATTTGTCTTCGTGTCTCGCTGCATGAGAGGCGGAAATGGCCAGTTTTTTTTACACTTGCTGACAAGTGTCCACAAGTGACGGTTCTGGTGAAATTTCAAGGAATTTCGACATTGAAAATTCCCAATTTGGATGAAAAAGTTGATGGGAATTATGGATAAATATTATATATTCTCGAATTTCAAATGATTTGAATACAAAGAACAAGAATTGGGTACAAAAAATATTAATGTTTTGTTGCGCACAAAAATGTGCGCAAATTGTATTGAATTCCCGCTGTAAATTTGAAATTTCATTATTTTCCACACTCTAAATAAAATTAAATGTCCCTCGCAGTTGTTGTTTCTTCAACTAGCTTGTTCTAGTTGAAATTCTAATATTATTCCGCACCGCACAATATCTTTGAGTAAACAAATAAGAAACGAATGCTCGTACAAATCTCGGAATAATATCCTTAAAAATTTTCAATTCCTCTTTTCACGATCCGACCATCACGATTGTTTTTTCAATATTTCCACACAAATAGAATAGCCACCACTCTCACACTTTGTGATAAGTGAGATGATAATTGTCGATCCAACTCATGTGAATTTTTCAAATGCGAGTGTAATTCAACAGAATAACCGCGCATCAATCCCCAAAATAGAACGAGTGAGGATACGCCTGGGATTAACTGATGGAGATGCGCGATATCCATCCTGAAAAGCGCATTGGTACTTGGTAAAACGATTCTGCGGTAAAATAATTGTTTTTGAAACGTTGTAACTGCCGGTGTCCAGCCGACATGGGGAGGAGGGATGTGGCGGTGAACAGCAAATGTGTGGGAATGGAATTGTTGAGGTGAGACACAGAGAGTTTTCGAGTTTTCGAAATCGCGCTTCTCTCGCGGTTTTGCCAGTTCAGTCTGCACCAGTCGATTTCCATTTGGCCTCTCCCATCCGTTCTATTCTCCATAAGCAACCCCCCACCCAATATTCCTGGCGTACGGATCCACTCTGACCCCCGCGATCCATCACCCATAACATTGAGTTGAACGCAACCGAGCCGTAAAAAATAAAAGCCAACAACAAGTTGAAACAAAAAAAGCTAGAGAGAGAGAGAGAGAGAGAGATGAAAAAACAAACGAAGAAAGAAAATGAATGAAAAAAAAAAAAACGAAAAGGCAAGTGCACAAAACACAAATAAAAAAAAGTATATATGCAAATGCCTGTTACGAGTCGTTGAAAAGTTTGGAATAATAAATTTCAGGGGAGTAGAAAATGGCGTGGGAGAGAGGCGTGGTAGAAGTACTCGACGAGAAGCTTCATTGGAACAACGAAACGCTACGGACATACGCATAAATAGAGCTGGATTGGAATTCACGTATAGAGGGGAGATAAAATGAATGCTCTGGCATAGTATGAAAGTAGAGGAAAAACTCTGTGGATGTCCATTTTTCCGGGGCTAACGGTTTTTTTTTCTTTTTCTTTTTTTTTTCTTGTTTTTCAATTGTTAGTGCACAGTAAATTGGCTTTGTATGGTTTCATTTGTATTTTGGACTCTTGATGTTTTTGGAGCTAATGACCAAGTTGATTGTTTGGAGAGGAAAAATTGAGACTGTCGGCGGGAGATTTATATCAAAGAAAGTTTGCTGAGAAAATACACGAGCTTTTATGTAATAAAGTTTAAAAGCAAAGGCAAGTGTCGTCGGAGTGTCGTTTTGGGGTTAAGATAAATGCGTTAGCACAATTTACATGGTTTCGTGGGTCTTCCGTTTTGACACCACCGAAATTCCAAAGGTAAATAAATCTGAGTTGGTGAGAGTTCTAGGGGGATTAATTTACTGGTAAGAATTTTCCATTGAAATTGTGCGTTGCTAAATTTTTACATCTTGCCATTTCGTTAAAAAAAAAAAAATAAACACTCTTTTCCAAAGAGTGCAAATTTTACGTGGAATCTTGAATATTTCGATAATGTTCAAGTTGACAACATTCTTATTTTTTTCAATGGTTTCATATAGCTCAGTTGATATATACGAACACTGCATCCCTCTTTTAAATTAATGCCCGATAATTCAATCGGCCGATTGCCGCAGACTTGAAACTGTTATGGACATTGAAAAGTTTTCATCTCTGTTATTCGTTTCATAAAACACTCCGCTGAGATTATGAATATTCACATGCGCTTTCGGCGTTGATGAATTTAAAATTTAAACGGGCATCACTCGTGAATCATGCATGCCACAGAATTTCTGGTTAATTGTGACTTCAGTAAACCGAAATAGTCATAATTTTATATACATTTTGTCGCCGTAAAATATTGAATACGTGGGGATTTTCCGCTGGGGTTTTAATTGAATGAGTTTTCATGGATAAATTATGAGGTAAATATTTACCTCCTTTTGGTGAGTCTGTTGAGCCATATTGTCGTACGCCTGCAACAAAAAATAAAATGTCAAATTAGTTGATTGATTTTTTCATGAAAAGAGCCAATAATGTGTGCGTAAATGAATGTTTGTCTTTGAAAATACTAATGGAAAGTATTTTTTCTTAGAATAATATTCAAGTTTTTTTTACGCTCAAGACTCAACAGTCTTCAAGTGTGAATAAAGCTTCTATCTCAAATCACAATTTGATAAACAAATCGCCTCCTCCTCCTCCTCCTCCTCTCCCCATAATAGATAACTACCCAATTGCCAATTTCTATTTGCCTACAACTCGGAAATTATGGCAAAACCAAATAGCAAACATTGATAAAAATTTTCAATTTCCGTAATGTATCATATACGCTCGGAGACACGTATATCCACGGGAAGAGAATATAATTTGGCAGGCGTATAGAGAGGAACGTACGTATTCTCCGAGGCAAAGACACCCACCCATCTTCAATTTTGAACGGACGTATATATATATATATATATATATATATATATATATATATATATATATATATATTCGCGTATTGGTATAGAGCGTCGTGAGACGCCTGGAGCATGACTTGGAATATGAAACCCATCTTGAGGGGATTCACTGCTGTACATATCATTCCACCATAGAACAGGATTTGCTCTTTAGGTGTGGAATCTATCACGATAAAAAATTGTACCGAGTATGAGGGCTATTTGCATAAAAGTCAAATCCCAAGCTCTCTCGTGCAGTGTCCCTCAGGTTATATATAATATATATCCTATAAAATATGTGATAGTAAAAAGTGTCGTGACTTTTTTTTTGTTTTTTATTCAACGCATGACATGACATTTTTTTTGAAAATGACAATATGAATTAAAAGAGAAGACTAGCAGGATTAAAATGATTTTCACGAAAATGACCCAAACATCATATTAATTTTCAATTTTTTTGTCAATTTATCATGTTTGAATATTTCATCTCTCCCTGAACACCATGAGAATGTAAAAAGATGCCATCGAAAATGACATGGCACCTGAATGCATAAAAAGAGGTGTTATAATGCAAAAGGTAAAACTCAAAAAGCCTCTTCAGCCAAATTATTATGTTTGGTGGAAGCTGGAAGCCTTCCAGACGAGGGGTTACCATGCCTACCAAGTTCTTTTTAGGGGAGACACAACGTGTTACACACAGGCGTTGAAACCACGACGAAAATGCTCCAACTTTTTCCAACAATAGGATAACGGGAAAAGTTGACGGGGAGCAAAGGAGGGCCGCCAATTGCGAAATAAACGGTGAGTACCATGCGGAACGAGTTAAAAGCCGGATGCTACTTGTTCCTTGAGTTATTGATTTTTTACTCTCAACTCTCAACTTGCAGATTAATTGAATTTCAATTAAAGACATTTAGAGGAAAATAAATTTTCCAAGATTCCAGCTGTTACCTTCGCCAATTCAAGGACTACTTCCCCGTTAATCCTCATCAAGATAACTGACTTGAAGCATCACACGAGGAAATGTAATTAACTATATATCTCCCCCTTGTACTCACCAAGTTGCGCGTGCATGTTGTATAATGGGCTAATCGCCCCAAAACATGGCATGACTGCGTAAACTAGTCCCCCGGAAATAGTGAAATTACGCCTGACATATGATGAGCACAATGTTTTTAATGACAATCTCACCATCTCACCATTCCGCATGCACAGGCCAAAGCAACTGTCGACTACATACGACACGTACGATAACACGAGCCAATGAGCCAATGAGCCAATGTGTTGTGCTCGATTGTATGATGCTCATAATATCAGTTCACTCTGCATCATTAATAACTGGGCTTGCAGGACAAGCATCCAGTGATATCGCTTGAATTTCGATTGATAAGATCTTGGATGGATCTTTATTAGGTATTAATAATGAAAATGTTTTAAACTTGAGGAAAAATATGTATTAGCATTGTCGAAGCATACGTGACATATAGAGTGGTTATATGGGTCCCTCCCCCCTATTGGATCGATACAGGAAAATTGGAGAAACAAGAGAAGCAAAGTGGTGAGGGTGGTGAGGGTTGAAGCCCGAGCTCTCGATTAATGCAAATGTCTAACCTATTGGAGGATACAGCTAACCAATGCTGTAGAATGTCCAGAATCGGGGATAGTGGACAAAGGGGCTCCGCGGAGCAAGTGAGCAGACTACGTCCACCCTGAATTAACCGCTGGCCAATTCCCCTTTCCCTCTCTCAGTTACTGTCCTTGTCATCTCATGCGTTCGATCCACCTCGTTTCGTACGTACAGTTAGGGTGCACCCCAACGACCGCAACGCTTCAATTTCAAATGCTAATCAGTTCGTCCAGCTCTCGTACCAACAGCTTAATGTCTATACACGTATATTCTCCATTACATGCGGGGAAATGTCTTCAGTCAAAAGGCTGTCTGTAGGTATTATCGAGAGAATGTATCCGTGATACGTGCATGTGCTGAAAAGCTGGATGGATTTTTTATTATTTTATTTTATTTTTTTAAACTTTACCTTGTAAATTGAATCCTGTAATAAATTAATGAGATATTTGAAAAAAATTTCCGTCATTGTCGAGTTGTGTGGAAATTCCTTTGAGGATCATGAAAATCCGGCAAAGCCGCTTTCAATTTAATGAAGAAAATTTCACCTCCCAGAAAATTAATTCTCGTGAGAAAAAAGAATAGTGGAGTAATTGAATTAAATTTCCCTCTCACTTGAGTGGACCTCTCGTTCCTCCCAAAGCTTTCATTATTATACCCGTAGACTGTTGAACAATAAGTACAACGTGCAATGAGAATCAAGTATTGAATTTTATTCAATCCCTCCAACTTAGGTATATCGTAATTTCCATTACCATGAATATTAAGAAAGGGAAAAGAGCACGAAAAGGATGAGCCTGAGGCTTGGGCAATATGGTAATTGAAATTGTTCCCTCAATGAGATGGCTTCATATTAATTTTCAAAACTATGCAAATCCTCCCTTGGGCAAGAATTTAATAACCAAGGAAGGAAAATTGCTGATAATTTGTTTTTACAATTATTTATTCATTGTTTTTGAAAATTATTAGCAATGTGGAAAACATATATATATATATATATATATATATATATATATATTGTCAAAAATATATAATATAATATAATTAATAGTGTTCAGACGCACGTGATACGACCCAAGGAGTTCACCGAGGCGCATCTCTACAACTCCCAGTGGCGTGACTCACCTAGTCCAAAAGCCCGGAACCTAGTGCAAGCTCTCCCTCAACCATTGACTTCCGTTGGTGTTTGGGCCACACTTGATATACGGTTGTGTATACATCACCGCACTGGTACCGTCCTAACGGAGTATAGATTACCAAAGGTGCTGTGCACAATGGCGTGTAATCAACGTCTGCAGGCGCGCGTTAATATTAAATTGTCCCTTGGTTCTCTAGTCTTGTACCACTGACATTACCCCTGTGGTCTGTGCTTTCCGGATAGGTGTCATTCAATGCCGTTTCAAGTGTGCTATCTTGATTTTAGGAGCTTTGGGGGAAGAAAAATGACACTAGTCAAGTAGGTCATTTTCGCCCTATATAGTACATACATCAATTGAATGTCAAATAACAGTCTCTGTGATTGATACCACCCCCGTCCTCCAACGTGAAATCTGACCCTCCACTCGAATATATTGTATTTTAATATAAATCCCCGAGCCCCGGCCGGGCCAAAATCCCAAGCCGGCTGTGTGGCGCACTTGGTAGCAGCATGAGATTCACAACCTCAAGCTCCCAGGTTCGAGCCCCGTCTGGGCCAAAATTCCGCACCAATTTTTCATCACAATTTTCCACATAATATTCAACTGAAAATTGAATACAATTTTCCAACCGAATATTCCACGGAATTTTCAACTGAAAAATCCACTCCACATTCAACATTCCCTGGCTGAAGGCCCTCGGGCGATGGCCGCGTTGGCAAGTTAACCCTTGCAATGAAAAACCGGTGAATTTTTTTTATAAATCCCAGGGCCGCACCCAGGGAGTGATGGTCAACTCTCGTTGCTCGTGACAGCACTGCGTTAATTCCTTGGGGATTATCGAAATTATGCCAACGAAGGTACCAGTACCCAATACAAGTATTACCGGTATTAACTCGACTTATCCAAAATCATTGATGTCGACATATTTGTCATACTTAAAATGTGAAAATAAATTCCATCAAATAAAAGCACAGCCACTTTTTTTCCTAAGAAAAAAAAAATCTTTTAAATTCGGTGACTTTTTGTTTTCTATAAAACGTCCTGGTCTTAGGACTAAAACGGAAAAACCTCTTATTTTTGTGTCTAATGTATTAAAGAGACGAGTTTTGTAACTGTTGCAAATGTAAACTATAAATAGCACCGCTGAAAATGTTCAGGCAGACGGGGCAGAAATTTCGAAGGCTGCTAGCAAGTTTGCACTTATCTGCGGTCGTTATTATTTCGTCCCCGTTTATGAAAAGCAATCGAGGATGACTAAACACCCCGAGAGATACGGTACAACTCCCGTCATATCAGTCTCTTTCTCTCTCTCTTCCTCCAACCTCTAAGCAAGTTTTGGTTATCTCGAGTGACGTCAAAAGCCCGTTTGGTTATCATATCGGGCTATGTGTGGGGGGGTCCAATGGTCCGATGGTCCAATGGTCCAATGGTCCAATGGTGATAGAGGTGGCGCCAGTTTCTCACGCCAGTGAGCCAAGTTTAATGACATCAAAACCGCAAAGAACTTTAACGATGGCCTTTGGAGTAAGTGAACAAAGTTAAGTGGAGTTGGGATCAACTTGTCTCAGATATCTAAGCCAGAGATCGGGGCGGCAAAGATCTCAGCAAACTTTTCAATTCACAATTTACCAGTTGATGCTGTTACTGATTCGCAGATTCTGGTTCAAGACTAATAGTGTTAACAAATTTCACAATAAGGCGTTAATTCTACATACGCAAGTATAGTATAAATGAACAATTTTTCTCTTGACATAAAAAGTTAAAAACCAAAA